CCGACCCGCACGCCTGCGGCACCGGCACTGCGGCCACAGCCGGGGCTGGGGGAGAACTGCCGGGACGTCGGCCAGTGACGCTGCCACGGGGCTCCTGCAGGCCCGGACCTCCACAGGGCTCCCAGGGCTAGTGCCGGGCTTTGACTTCAGCCCAGCTCCAACGTTACCTAATGACTGGGTTTTTTTGGAGCTACTTTACCCCCAAATTAAGTGGAGCCCGACCCACTGCCTGTAACACTGAAACAGCAGGGTTTGCTCTTGCCCAGCACGCAAGAGACTTTGGCTCCCACCCCAAGCAGAAGGAACTGAGCAGCGTGCGCTGGGACATTCTCTGTAATACCTGCAGACGTCCTGGATAAAGGACTGACTTGTGACACCACCATGTAGGAAATCCTGGTGACAGCAAGGAGGAGCCCAACAAGTCACCCACCCGAGTGGTCCTGCCTGGCTGAGACATTCTCTGTTTGCGTGTCCTGCTGCAGCCCACATTGGCATAAGTAAATGCATCTTTGGTGGTTGTTCAGGGGGCTCTAGTGGAAAAAAAGTCTTAAATCAAATTAAGGTTCTTAACTATTAAGAAAAAGCTAGTCCTTCGGATGACACAGCTCCGCTGGCCACGGGCAGGGATGCGCTTCTTCTTATCCCCCCGGGTTGGCTGCTCGTCCCCCGGGGAGGAGAGCAGTGACCCCCGGTGCTGCACCTCGATTTTACAGGAGCTCTGGCACCATGCGCACAGAAGGGCTGCGTTGCAGTTCAGAAGGAAACAGTACAGGTGTGAGGCACTGGCATCATCATTAATTAATTCTCTCGTAAAAACATCCCTCTAATTCATGCTATACTAAAAGAGGAATTGTAAAATCTGAAATACTTTAAAGACAATCATTGGTGTAAGCTCTCCAATACTACTTAGACCAAGTTCCGTAACAGTATCTATGTATTAGGGGAACTCCCTCCAGAGTTCCAGCTTCTCTGATTTTTTTATTACCGTCAGGAGGCCCATGAAAATAAAAAAGGGTAGAAATAAGTCAGGAACCTGGGCTGGGGTCAGCCTACGGTGATCTACGCTGCTGCCACACCTCTGACCTGGGCAGCCTGGCTCAGTGCTGGCGCTGCACTTACTTACCTGCTAAACATCCACTGGAGACAATTATTCCTGACCGGCTGCACAGAGTGACCATTGGAACAGGTAAAAAAGTCAGCTGGTGCTAAGGAAGGGGATTACCAAGAATAACTTTTCTTATATTTCCATCTCCCACGTGAATAACAGCGGTCCCTTCCCCCAGCCGCGCACCAGGGCCAGGCAAGCGCAGGCAGCTCCGCTTGAGCCAGCTCTGGGGCAGAGGTGGGCGATGGAGAAAAACTTTGCTCAGACTGAGATTTCCTTTAGCAGTTCTAACCCCATTAGTGTATTTGACTCTGTCCTTTCCCCTCCCTTACCCTGGCAGGCTGTATCTGCTTTCTGCTTCAGTTCATACGCAAGGGATTAGCACTTCCATGAAGTATATACAACAGTGGGGCTGCCCCATGTCTGTTATCCCTCAAAATAAGTAGGGAAGGAAGAGCAGAAATGGCTGAGCAGCTGCGTTTTGGTCTCCTCTTTTACCTCCTCCTAGAAGGGCTTTTCACGCAGTTTACTGGCCTGTTCTAAAGGATCTGGGCACAAAGGCAATGCGAGCGGGGATTTAGCCTCCAAAATCCTGCCCCTGCCACCTTCACAGAACTGGAAAGCACAGGAGCCTTCCCCGCAGCCTGCCCGGGGTGTGGGGACAGCACTGGCCATCCCGACCTAAATGCGGTTTTTCCTCTACTAGTAAGTAACAAGACAGATGTTTGAAATACAAATCACCACTGGCTGACAGAGACAAGAAGACTGACTCGGTGGTGGGCTCCACTCACCCACAGGACGCCAGGCGGGGGGATCTTGGGCTCCCACCCGCTCCTGGGAGGCAGAGCCCATCCTTGGCTGCAGCAACGCTCTCGCAGGGTATAACATTGGCACTTGTCAGCACAAAGCTGCCGCTACCAGGCGGGGTGTGAAAAGAGAAGCAGGCAGGAGCACAGGGGCTTTAATTTAAACGAGCCCCTGCTTTGCTATGCCAAGGCCTCACGGTACCGGAGCACCCTTCATTGCCTGGCTGTAGCGCTTTCAGGTGGCAGTCTAACAGCGAACTGATGCATTGGTCCAGTCACGCTTTGTTAAATAAATAAGGTACAGTTAGACAGCTGTAACTCAATTCCGCAGGCGCTTGTGTTTATACATTTTCCTCGTGTCTCTGGCCAAAGAACATACTTCCTCTGGTCAGTCTGATTTGAAAAAATAAAAATGTCACTCTTCCAGCGTTTCCCTGAGCCTCCCCGTCTCGGTACAGTGGTCGCAGTCGAGCAGACAAAGGGCAATTCTGAGCTTTTTTTTTTCCCCTCCACTGTACCAGGCAGGGGGGAGTGTGGGAAATCGATGCTCTTACGTTGAAGAAGGCGAGTCCATTGTGGAGAGGATCCGCACGATCTCGGCTCGCTGGGTGGGTGATATATGCTGGGTCATGTGCACTATCGAATCCATGGCAACCTCCGGATTGGCCTGGACCAGGCTGGAAAGAGGCGAGAGTTAAGTGACAGCAGCCCCGACACTCGCACCGGAGCGCGTCTGACAGCTCCCCGTCAGGCCCGTCGGGGAGGACTGAAATATGGGGTCTTTAAGAGAGACTGGACGAGGCAGCGGGCACTTGTGTGAGCTGACTGCAAGCAGCACGAGAGCTGTGCTCGCTTGGAGGCCCTTGTGCCACTCAGTTTGCTGGTGGCAGACCGGCTCAGACAAGCATGGAGGCTGAAATCCCGAGAGGCCGGACCATGCGGACCCAGGGCAGACATGGGGAGACCAGGAGCTCTGGAGTGTGCCCTGATTCCACCAGCAGCACCTTCAGAGTCTGCCGAGAGCACCCACATCTCCCCCTCCCAGATGATGCAGAGCCCCGTCCGCTGTAGCACGGATGGAGACACTGGTGGAAATGACGGGAAGAGATGCCCTACAAAGTCAGACACAGGACACAGAAACCACAGGAGCTTCACTCCGCAGTTCCGTGCCCTCCCCCAGCAATCTCAGAGGCAAAGCTGCTTTAAGAGACCTCCAGTCTAAGACATAAAAATTATCAAAATTATATCTGCTCAAGTCTAGCAAAGCATTTGGCTCACGAGACTTAACTGGCTCCGCTGGACGAATGTCTGTGCAAATGCACACAATAACACTTACAAGCAGGAGGAATAGATGCTCTACCAATGTTTTAGTATTCTGGGGGTTTATTCAGTGTAGTTCTAAACAGCAGTCGAAGGGAACTGGACATTTTATGACATTGAGCACATGAGAAACTAGGTAGCTTGCCTGGAAAGTCTAGGGCTAGAAGAAATAAAGGGAAGGAAGCCATAAGGATATTCTGGCCATGTGTGGTCAACACACCGCTTTGATAGCAGTAGCACAGCTCAGAGATTTGCTTTCTCTCCTTGATTCCTGCAGTATGCGGCCTTCTAAAATAAGTGACCTCCTACAAAATAACGTTTTTCCATTTTCTGTCTCAAATGGAGAAAAGACACATTAGCAGTGAAATTTCTGTGCCCTGGCTCTTCACGGCTCCTGTTTCAGTAAAGGGCAGGCATGGTCAGGGAGGTTTGGATACTGCTGGATTAGATCTCTGCTCTGCTGGGTTGTGATTTTGCTCAAGGCACCTGCATGTACAGTAGCACTACAGCCTGTGCAGGAGGAACAGGAGATGCAGACTTTGAACAAATCCCTGTTTCACAGCAGCTGCACATTTGCCCCTGTGTTTGCATTTCCAAAGGAACTGCATTTCCACATACTCCTTGTGTGTTTGCCACATAAAAAGGCCCATGACTGTGAAATGTGTGTGGAACTGATGGATCCACTTTCCTCAGCTGGGGAAGCACACGCAGCCAAGATCAGAGCCTGAACTTTTTAAAATCCCTGTTCTGCAGGGGCAGAGCGTGTGTAGTTGGCTTACCTCCGTATCTGTTTGAGGATGTAGTCCCTCGAGATGTATTTGATGTTTTCATCCACAACTGAGCGAATGCCTTCTTCTTCCGTCAGCTGTTTTTCCAGCCACTCCACCAGGTCCTTGTTACTGTCCCATAAGTACGCCTGCAAACAAACCGCAAGTGTCACCCGGCGAGTCCCAGTGCTGTGCACGCTCCCGCTCCCCACGTACCGTTCCCGAAATTTAACTCGCAATTATTGGCAGCCGCGGGTAAAACGTTTGGCTGGCAGACCTCTGCGGTTTTCCCAGTGTGTGTCGCTTTTATAAACACAACTAACAATTACCAGAAGTCAAAAGATGATATATTTCTTTTGCATCTCCTTCCATAAATGTGACTAAAGGGGAACCACCGAGGCAGCTAACCTGGTGTTAATCTCCCCCAACAATCACGGGATCCCTGATCCAGCCCAGAAACCGAACAGCCCCTTCAGCAGGTGTGCACACAGCAGAGGAGGTCGGGGTGTCCACATCCCTGAAAAGCCTTGGCAACAACACCCTTTTTTCCTTTTACAAGATCATTTCACCTGATATTTGCTAGGTAGTTGACTACATAATAATTCAGGAGTGTGTTAGACGCCTAATAGCCTTCTCGCTCCTCTCTTCTCCTCTCATTTTCTTTACAAATCATTTAAGAATCGTTTTGTTAATGGTTTCCGGAAAAGCAAGTACCGCCATTAGCACTCATTCATATTTATGTCATTTTATTTGGGTAATTAAACACAAAGCATTTAAAGGTGCACTATCCTTCTCTGTTATCACTAACGAAGTCAAAGTCAGAATGACAATGAGCTCGATGCAGTAACGCACCGCAGGGCCGAGCGGGCACCCTCCCGGCGCGGGCGCAGACCCCAGCAGCCGCGGGCAGCAGAGCAACCACTGCTCCAGCCAGGAACCTTAAGGACCTTCCATCCTCGCGGCTGCCTCTGTGGCCTGACTGGGAGCAGGGTGATGTTGGGGCTGGCCAGGGAGCGGGAGGCAGAAGCACAAGATGGATGTTGGCACCCGAAGGTGAAGCCTCGGGGTGGGGGGGCAGCGTGTTTGCAAAGATCTTGGGGCAGCAGCAGTGAAGCCAGCTGAACACCTCACCTACCAGGACGCTACTTCACTGCATGCAATGGGTTCCTCCAGCCACCACGCCGCCCGAGGCAGCGTCTCACCTCTCCTGCTCTCCCAACAGAGCGATGCCTGCGCCCTGTCAGCCCGTTACAAGCCTTCGCAAAGCTGAATTTCTCCCATCCTTGCCAATACCAGAAAGCAGCGTATAGGCAGCACTCACACCGATGAGCCTCCGTGCTGCTCACCCTTTATTTATATATTTAATTATCAGTTTCCAAAGTCCAAGAAATTGTTTCCCTCTTCCCTGGGACTCTCACAAGCAGCGCTCCTTCTCCGAGTTGACGAAGGTGTTGCTACACCCACGGGTGAGAGCTGGCACTGCTGTGAAGAAGCCTGAAGTGCAGACCCTATTCCAGCCCCCAGCGTTGGTCCTGCTTGACACACTTTAGTATGAAACTGTTTGGTTTTTTTTAACATTATGTATATGATTGCCTTAAATCAGTGATGGCATTTCAACCTCAAGATTTCGCTTATTTCATTGTTTTTTATTATTATTATTTTAAACTGGTTAGGTTTTGCTCCTTGCCTCTGCCCCTAGACATGACAGAAATGCTCCTTGCATACAAAGTAGGGCACTTAGGAAGATTTCAGGGAAGGGAAAAAAAAACCCATGAAGCTGCCTTACGGTTGCAGACCTGTGTAAAGCTAGATTTACCCAAGAATCCCAAAGCTTTTAGTTTAGGAGAATATTTAATACTCTTATTAATCATTTTTAATCCGTTTGCTTTTAATTAAGAAACAGCATGATGCTTTCCTATCAACATATGCCAGGGAGCAGATTAATTGTGGCTTAAGATAACTCTCCTTGATTGGTGTAATGTATTAGCTAACGAGATGCCCGCTTTTAAAGACGCTCAGACACTACCTTGAAAAGCCTGCTGCCCTCCAGAGAACACTTCCCCCCCTTTTCTGGAGCCCCTGAGTGTTTGTGACTTTAAAAATAGAATAGAATAGAATAGAATAAAATAAAATAAAATAAAGAACTCAGATTGGAGGACTGCGACAAAAACAACCTAAGAGCAGCTCCAGAGATTGCTCTTCAGAGACTGCCAGCTTCTGAGTTTGAGCACAATTAAAACAGAAATCCTCAACACAGCTATCAGATGAGGACTGCGGATGGTGCCAAGGCACCCCCCCACCCCAAACCCTGGCAGATAGATCTTACAGCTGATCTGTGTCCCCACCTTTGACGGCATGCCACTCCCTGTGGCGTTAAAGCACTGTGCAACCCGGGGGACATGGGACACTTGGTGGAAGAATGGCTGAGACATGGCAATGGTGACGGACTGCCAGGCAGGTGCGATCTGTCCCCACCATCTCTAAGTTCATGGCCCGGGGAAACAGAAGGAAGGCAAAGGCAGCCCAGGTGAAGAGAGGACAGTACGGCCATGGGCTGCTCTGCAAGCAGCAGGACAGGCGGGTAAGATAGGCTGGCTGTACGTCTGCCACACGAAACATCTGGATACAAGCAGTGAATCCTCACACCCTTCTCAGTGTCAGTGGGATAGAGTGGGATTGAGGATATTATTCAGTAAGAAAGAATAATTAAAAATAAAATAAAAATCCTGCTTCCGCATCACAGAGGATCCCAAGGGTGTGCAGGGACTGGTCTGCACAGCTCGGACAGCTCCTCGTAACAGTCGCTGTAACCGCAAGCAGCTCCGCAGTACTATTTCAAGCACGCTGTGCACAGAAACAAGGAGATGGAGATATTCAGGGCTGGTATATACAGCATGTGTTGTGACTCCTGGGATTTGTGCTGCCAGTTCTGCCAGACAGCAGCACCTCTGTGCAGCCTTCTTCCCACACACTGCCCTGCCTCGCTCCACTGAGCAAGCTGTTCATCTTTGTAAGATGCCCAGATTTTCATAACAATGGTGCTACATGCTTGGGGAAAAAACCTATTTTGCTCTTCTGGCCTGCTATAAAAAGTGTCCCCATAAAACAATTCATGACCTGGAACATTACCCAGAAGTTCTCTTAGTTATGTTAGTGGACATTACAATTAAAAAACAGAGATCAAACTCCACCTGGGAGAACTTCACTGAGCCTAAGCCCAGGAAAAACTAATGCCTTGGTGAAACTGCTTTTTCGTTTACCTTCACTGTCCCTTCAACTTCCACAAACCAGCGTCTCAGCATAGCCTGGATCTGCCCATCAGTCAGCTCAGGATTGGCATCATGGATCTTCTTTTTTACCACATCTTCTAGAAGAAGACGTCTTAATCTCCAGTAGAAGAAGGTACGGGAAGTTTTCCAATCTAGAATGTCCTGCCCAAGACATAAGTGGAGAAGAAAAATGAGTGAGGGACAACATTTATGTGGAGAAATATATATGCCTTATTCCCAATGACAAAAAAAGGCTTGCACTCATTATATACTTAATATACCGCTCGCACAAGAGAAATACAAAGACTCCCATGTCTGAGCTTTGAAGACTTCCACCCTGTTATACCATTCAGTCACCAGAAGCCTCCTTTGTCTCCCAGAAGTCTGCTCCCTTCTGCAAAAGGAGACACAGCTCCCCAGATGAGCAGCACAGCCCAAGACACTCACATCCAAGGGGAGAGGGAACTAGGAAAATCTAATCGGCCAGGGTTCAAACCCTGACATGACAGCTGGCCTTCGGCTATGCCATTATAGCACTTCCCATCACTGAGGGTCCCCACGGGTACAGGCTCACCACCTTCCTGCCCTCCCCTCCTGCCTGGGCAGACTGCAATGTGCTCTGGGGGGTTTTTGATGTGGTCGCTAATGAGCGACCGGCAAAGCCCAGAAAATGTGGGGTCTCAAATGGACACGGATCAGGTAAAGGTGCTAGAAAACACGATGTGCTTGTGTTCTGGGGCCAGAAAACAGCTGGCGGGTGGAGAGGGTTTGCTCCTGTGCAAGAGTCACTGGGGCAGAGGTTTACTTGCAGCCCCGCGGGATGACAAGTTCCTCTGATCCTGCTGCCTCCAGCAGCAGCTTGCCCCACTGAGGGTTACCATTTCCCACGTGTGTCAAACCCTCCAACGATGTCCCCAAGGAAAGCTCCATGATACTCACAGTTATGGCACCCTTCTCCTGCATCCGGCCAGGTGTGTCGTGCAAGTCAGCAAACTGCATGGCTACCTGGTGGTAAATGGGAATCAGGAATTCCTCCCGCTCCTTTAGCTTGGTCTCCAGCTCTTTTCGGTCAGCAGGGCTCAGCTCGGGGGTACCTGCAAGCAGGCACAGCCACACATCAGAGACCTTTGACAGGGTAAAGCAGAGGTGTGTACAAAGGACGGCTGCATGGAGGAAAGGCAAGCAGCTCTGGACAGTCCAGAGGGAGAATGGAGGTTTCTTCTGCTCCTGCGTACGGGCGAAACCCAGACTGCATTTGTCCAGGACAAACACCAGACTATCAGCAATGCCAAGCAGAGTCTTGAGTCAAATGTAAGTGTTCCAGCCCAGATTTCCTGCCACCGATATTCAGGCAAGAGCTTTGAAGGAGTTTTCACCACGGAAACTCTATTCCATTTAAATGCCAATGAGCTGAGCCATCAATTAAGTGACATTTACTGGACTTACTCCTAAAAAAGAATAATGTCCCAACACGCAGTTCATTTAGCAAGAAACGTGGACAATGTAAAACCACCTACACAATTTCAAGTTTTCCTGCAGGCTGGTTCCTGCCAGTAGCTGTTAGAGCCACTGCCTCATTAAGGAAAACACGCAAGTTAGGCTAGAGACGCCAAAACTGCTCACTTTCCGTTTACCAGTGATCGGCACACACGTCTCAACCATGGACTACCATGATGGACAAGAATAAAACTGCGTCAAGAAGATAATGTCCTGTGGAGTTTATAATTTTTCATTTATTTTGTAACATTCAGCTCAGATAAAATTACTTTGATTAAAACAAAACCACAGATTAAACAATTTCTGATTAATTTTGGAATTGCCTGACCCAGACTAAGCCAGGCAAGGGGAAACATGTTGTGCTGTGGAGGCATGTCGCAGCTCCTGCCGCTTCCCGCAGCAGAACAAGTGCTCCTTCCTCCAGCTGCCCCTTTATCAAACCAAGAACGTAAATCCCCTCTTCTCCCTGTAACAGGCCACAGGGAGCGTAACCGTAAGTGCAACTCTGTGCTGAACCTACAGTAATTTACACCAGGTCAAAGCTCGCCCAGAAGTAGGTTGATGCTTCTCCTACACTGCCTCACCAACACATGTGCAAGAGGTCCTTGCGCAGAGGCAGAGTATTTAGAGCAATCTTAGTTCAATTTAAGCAAAGATTGCAATCTGAGCCAAATTATACGGTATTGGATACTCTGTTGAATTGTGCCATTTTTTAACCTCCCACCCACACCAGAAGCTCTGGTTGCAAGTTCACGGCCTCAGAGACAGCTGCCTCCCATCCCACCTCCCCTTTTAAAACTGAGGTCGCTGGCAATCTGAAGCCGGGTCATGGTCGAGTCTTGCTCCAAGCACTGGTGGGCTGTAACGTTGAACTATCCTACAGCACCTTCCATTCAAATGTTAATATAACCGCCCATGTGCCTGGGAGACATGCAAGCATGATTGCGTCTTCAGTGCACGGAGAGGAGCTGAGATATAAAACAAAGAGATGTCCTACCCAGTAGCACAAGAAGTCAACGGGAGAACTTGGAACAAAAGCTGGCGCCGTGATTCAGCCGGAGAACAATGGATGCTTCCTTGTTATCTTGTAGCCTGAGTATCATGACTGCATTTTGTGGTGTGTGAACACCATCGAGCTTTTTTTGGTTTTAATCTTTGTTTTTGGTTTTAATCTTTATCCTTTGCGAAAGAATGTCAATGGGATTAAATGCAACATCTACCATTACATCAGCACCTATTGTTAAACTGCCACACTTCCAGGCTGGGTGATGAGGAAGGCAATGGCTGGGGAGAAGCAGGAGGACAGCTGAGCAACGGGTGTCCTCAGCAGCTCACGGCCACCATCCAGTTTGACAACAGCAGGCTCTGGAACCGCAGCAGGAAGTCAGAGCAATCCCAGTCCCTCCCAACAAAACCAGATGAAATTAGCAGGCAGAAGCTTTATGAAAACTCCAACAACAGGCAACATTTTCACAGTGCAAAACCAAACGTAGGACTCATTGCCACAGGAGGTCCTGAGTACCAAAAGTACAAACGAGCTCACAGAAAGTGATCAGATAAATTCATGCAAGAGAAGTCCATCACAGGCTTCTAAGGGCAAAGATGCAGACACAAATCTGTTCTCAGGAAGCCTCTAAACCACAGGACTGCTGGAAGCTGAGAGAGCATCCTGGGGAAAGTATCCCACTGCGATTGCACCACGCTTCTACTCTTTCCTTGAGCATCCATGGCTGACCTCCCACAGACAGGATGATCCAGGGCTGATGGACCAAAGGGCTGAGAACCCCAGTGGCTCTCCCCGGTGGGTGCAGCACCGCAGCAGCTCATGCACAGCACTGTGACACTGGGGCTTTGGCTCAACCCACCTTCAGGGGCCCACTGCATGCCTTTTCTTTTCTACTTTGCACTACCTATGTTTTCATTTCCTTCCAGAGTTTCTCTTCCAAGTCAGAATAGGTTTGAACAAACACACGCACGCACGTCCGTTTCCAAGTCACAGGCCAGCCATACAATGATTCTTCCTAGGGAAGGGATGTTTTTATGTGCCTACCAATATAAATGTTACCTAACCTTTCAAATGCTAGTAAGAAGGTTTTAATTAAGAGAAGCTACTCTTATAACCTTCAGAATAAAAAATTATATGTATTTATCCATGTTAAATTCACAGGCTCCTACACCTCCCTGTTTTAAATGGCAATGCATGCTCTTAAGCCAGTAACGCTCATGTATTCTGGCCTATCTGCCACACTCACGGTGTACAGTCAAACCAGCCAGGCCCAGTAATGATTTAGGTGAGATTAACAAATATGTCAATGTCTATTTTCTGCTTAATTTAAAAGCAGCGTCTATAAAGATTTTTGACTTCTGAACCCTGTTCTCCTGGAAGAAAGAAGGTAACAATGAGGAGGGGGGATAAAGAGTGATTATCCCATCATCGATCGTTTGTCAGGAGCATTTCTTATTCACTGGACTATTGTAAAAAGCTAAGCTCTCGATCAATCCTGTAAGCCCCCTGTACAATTAAATATCTTGGAATGGTTTTCTTTCTTTCCTAGTCAGATCTTGAGGCCTCAGGGTTTTTCAGAAAGCTGGGGCTTTATTTATTTATTTCTCGGAAAAAGAAGTCTCCTTCCACAAATCTTATACTGGCAAGGAGAGGGAAGTTAAAATATGGGATTCCTTTGCTCTAAAGGTACTTGACAGTTAATGAAACTGTTAAAGTTTAAATCATAGGAACATTATAGACCTCTAGATATGGATCGGCTACTAATCAATAGAGAAACAAAGGAAGCAGCACTCTGAAACAGCCACATTACAATGCAAACACAAAGTGTAGAGTGTTTTGGCATGCAGGTGAGGCACGCAGGTAAGACAAGACGACAATTCAAAGGAAGAAAGAACATGTGTGACCTTCCTAACTTGGCAGGCAGCACAGGACACTTTCTAAGGCAGCACTCTAAGTGCCATAAAATGTCACATTTATCTTGGATTGCAGTTTGCTCTGCAGTCTCCAAGTATGCTTGTATCTATCTATATATAGCGCTGGTATGATCACAGCCATTGGCATGATCAGAAGAGGCCAACTAAATGTCTTAATCCGGCTCTCAACACCTTTAAAGCCTACCCACAGAGGTAAGTGCACGAGACCTCTTTGTTCTATGGTGTCTTTTCTTTTTTCTTTTTTCTTTTTTTTTTTACCAGTAGCAAAACTGCCCTAAACAAGTTGAAAAAATGCCTTGGGGAAGCAATAACATTGGGGTACCAAAAAGATTAGAGAGTTTCTTCTGAGGTCAAAAGAGCAATGTCCAGGGTCTTGCCAAAATGTCCCTCACCGTACAAAAATTCCTCATGAACAACAGGCAAGGGATTTGTCCTTGCTAAAACACTCCGCTCCAACATACCCAGGTTAAACCAACAAAAACTAGCTTAAAACCACACATAAGGAGTATTTAACTCAAAATGTTCGCAAGTACTTCCTGGAAGAAGCTGGTAGCTCGTGCCTGCCCCTCTCCCCCATCATCCCCGCCCTGGCCTGTGCCCACCTCTGCCGTCTCTCCGCAGGGTGACACCAGCCTCCCCATCCAGCTGCTACAGCCTGGTTTTCGGAGTTACAAACTCTTTCTTCTGTGTCCTACAGCCCATAACAGGCCCCCAAACCTCAGGTCTGGGCTCTCAGTACCCCGGTGGCACAGAACAATAAATGCCAAATACTACGGTTGCCAACACAAGCCCGTTAACCACCCTGCAGAGAAGCACTTCCCGGCCGCTGCAGCAGGGACACGCAGGCGTGCTTTACAGCCCGCGATCATGGAGGAAGGCTTAGAGGAGTTGGCCTCCCCGCGTAGACAAATGGAAAAGCTGCCGCCATAAATCCACGGAGAGACCTCTCCTGTAAAGCGCTCTGATACTGATTATCATTTATACTCCCCTCCAAAAGTTAAGGGAAAGCATCATGGGAGGGAAAGCAACATCTAAACTATTTTGATTTGTGCCCCATTAAACAAAAAATCTCCTCTGAAGTAAGGGGCGTCTCCGAGCATCCCTCCGACGTATGTGCCTGGCAGAGGGAGCCATCGACAGCGCAGTGTCCTGCAGTGACTGCAGCCTGCTGCGGTGGCAGGGCGCAGGCTGCCTTTAATAAAGCTCCTGCCAGACGGAAATGGCTCAGCAGGACCATGAATCACGGCTTCCCATAACATTTAGTAGCAAAGTGCTTTTTTTAAATATGACCAGTTTAACAGGTTAGACAAAATGACTTCAAGAAATGTTATTGTAGGTTCCCTCTGATTGCAGAAAGCCAGGCAGCTTCTGAATCAATTTGATGGTTTATGGTTTCTAAGCTGTTAAAATGTGGGATTTTCTCCCTCACCCTCGGCACACAGCCTCAGCATGGCCAAGCATTTACTTGTCCATATTCTTGCTTCTTCCCCGAACATGCTCTCAAAGACCTGGGCAAAGCCCCGCATCAAGGCCTCTGACCCAACCGATTTGCGGAGACGCCCTCACGCTTACTCTCAGGCTCCGCACGCTGCGAGTCGGGCAAAGCAGACGGCTTCAACCCAGGCTCCAGCCCACCGCACCCAGCCAGTGGCACAGC